GCCAAGTCAGTATCTCGACACTCCAAGTCTGAGCTCCCGCTGACAGAGAATCAGTTCAGCGTCCTTGCGGCAGACTACCAACAGCCCGGGCCCATCGAGCTCGGCAACACAGAGGCCAGCAGCGCCAGCACCAGGCCCACTCAGCAACGAAGGCACCGACGAAGTTGCCGAACTGCCACCCGTGTCCTGCCCGAGCTCAGAGGCAAAGAAGAGACGAGCTCGGACAAGGTAAAAGCTGCCCCAATTCTCTCAGTTCCTTCCCCCTCGCATCAGAACTCCTGGCAGTCCCCATGCCCAAAGACTTCAAGCTCCCACCTTTGGCAAAAGTAAAGGAGGCCCTGCTCAACTTCCAGTCACACTTCATCAGGCAAATACCGAGGTCAGAGAACACTGAGGCCGACGCCCTGTCCCGATTAGCCAGCACGAGTCACAACACCATGAGAACCATGTACATAGAAGACTTACCTCGGCCTAGCATTCTCGGTGGGGCAGAGGAGGTCGCTCCCGTCCTTGAAGCAGAGCCGAGCTAGATCGACCCACTCGCAAGCTTCTTGCTAGATGGAACCCTCCTTGCGGACCGCAATGCAGCCAAGAGGGTGCAGTGCCAGGTAGCCAAATACGTCATAATAGACGAACGGCTATACTGACCACACGCTGCCCTACCTGCGCTGCTTGCGACCTACCGAAGCCGAGCTCGTGCTCCGCGACACTCATGAAGGTCTGTGCGGCGGACACTTGGGAGGCAGAGCCCTCGCTCAAAAGGCGCTTCGACAAGGATACTACTGGCCAACGATGAAGGCAGAGGCCATCGAGCTCGTTAGAAAATGCGACAAGTGTCAGAAGCATGCCAATATCCACCATCAGCCTGCTGCCGACCTCAAGTACCTCACCATTCCATGGCCCTTTGCACAATGGGGCATCGACCTCCTGGGGCCATTCCCGCCAGCAACAAGTGTGTAGAAATTCCTAGTGGTGGCGGTAGATTACTTCACAAAGTGGATAGAAGCTGAACCTCTGGCAACAGTTACAGCCCAAAACATACAGAACTTCTTTTGGAATAACATAGTATGTCACTTCGGTCTACCTCGGGTACTGATCTCCGACAACGGCAAGCAGTTCGAGGATATCAAGTTCCAAGAATGGTGCCAAGATATGGGAATTCGTCAGAACTTCACATCGGTCGCACACCCGCAGGCAAACGGTCAGACAGAAGTAATGAACGGAGCCATCCTCCGCGGACTGAAAGCATGACCAGACCGAGCTAAAGGGTTGTGGGCGGACGAGCTACCAAGTGTTCTATGGGCTCACCGAACTATGGAAAAAACCGCCACGGGAGAGACCCCCTTTAACCTCACCTATGGCACTGAGGCGGTAATCCCGGCGGAGATCGAAATACCCACACTGCGACTAGAAGCATATGACGATCAAACAAACGGAGACGAGTTACGTACCAACCTCGACCTACTGGATGAAGCAAGAGACCTCGCGCACATCCGAACAGCAGCCTACCAGCAAAAAGTAGCTCGGTACTACAATGCCAGAGTAAAGAAGCGRARCTTCCRCGTCGGCGACCTGGTTCTCCGTAAGATCATGGTACCCGAACCCGGCGTGGGCAAACTTGGACCAAATTGGGAAGGGCCATACAGAGTAAAGAGAGTGCTCGGGGGGGGCATACGAGCTCGGAACCTTAGAGGGCAAACAAGTACCCCGAGCGTGGAACATCGTCAACTTAAGGCGATGTTACCTATAGACCACCAAGCGAAGTGGACAAAATCGCTACCAGAGCCTAAGGGCTAGGATGCCGAGCTAACGAAGAAACCTCGGCATAGGCAAGCAAAGAAGTCCCAACCAAAAGCTCAGGCGAAGTGGAGACAACGAACTAATAGGGACATCGGCATCTCAGAGACTAAGTATTAACACCAAAACAGGTCGCGCGAGTGCAGTAACCCGGGCAAGAAACAGATCGGGCATATGGTCAGTTCGGCAAATATGGTCAGTTCGGGAGAAAAAACAACCAACACTTAACCAAAAGAGAGTCATTCCATTTCAAAATAAGGGAGTGTACATTTCGAACAAAAAAAAAAGAGAAAAAATACATATCGAGCTCACAGGCCCGGAGGTGCTTATTCTTCATCAGAAGGCACTTCAACAACACCCGAAGGTCCTGCCTCGCCCTCGGAATCCGGCTCACCATCAGCGGCGTCGGCCATATCCTGAGTAATGTGCGAGGTGGATATCGCACTAATATCAAGCTCGGGGTATGTATTCCGGATCATCCACCGGCTTAGTTTAAAGCCCTTTCTGTACGAATCCACTATCAGGTCATCAAAGCGCGGCGAGGCGATGTACTCATCAACGGCCTTCTTCTTGGCGTCCTCAATGCCTTGAGAAAAGATCTGCGTCCTCTCCCTGATATCCTCTTGAAGATATTCAACCTGATGCTGCAAGTCCAGCCTCAGGTCCGCCATATGCTTCACCACAACTCCCATGGCCTCAGCATCTCTCTGAGACCTCGCCTGCCTGG